AACAAACCCTCATCTCTCTCTCTCTCTCTCTGTTTATTTTCGTTTTTAGTTTATATTGTAGGTTGATTAATATAAAGTCTAATTATTGGAAGTTGTGATTGATAATGTCATATGTATAATGTACTCTTAGAATGGGACATTTTTTGTGGCTGAATAAGATTGCTGCATAGTTTACCACTTCATCAGTGATTATTGTAGAAGGAGTTTCCTGAACATTATCATGCTTAATAAGTATGATTTTGTGAGTAATTGAGTTTCTCAATAATAGTCACTATCTAACCATTATGAAATCAATAATCGAAGTACAGGTAATGTCGTAGCTATCCCAGTGTTCCTTTTTGTTCATGAAATCCAGTTTATAACATTTGTCCTAGTCTATGCTTCAATCTTATCTCACAAAGCGTTTGAGACCAATGAGAGAGACAGAAAGTGTCCCCAAATGCCCTAGTGCGGCTAAGGATGTTGAGAGTCGGTGCTCTCTCTCTCTCTCTCGAAATGCTCTTACACGGCCACGAGTATAAAGCCACTGTCAGGGAAGCCCTACTCAATGCCTTCTCGCGGTGGGGGTGTTGTTTATGAAATTGAGGGGAAAAAAGAGAATGTCAGGCACTGTAACCGGGTTGGTGGATATGGAGGACCCACCTACGGGAGTTGTAAAACCCCGATTCCAAACCAATAGTGCACATGAACTCCAGGATCCTGATGCAGCAAATGGCGTATGAGTTTATTGATGTTCACCATAAGAATACATCTCCTAACGTTGCTCCACTGACTTGTGGATTAGACCTCTAGGTCAAGGGTTTGGGAAGTGGCTGCCAAGAACACCACCTACTTCGGTTCAGGTTCCTGGACAGTATCCCAGCCCCAACACGGAGATAATTAAACTATTGAACTGTTTAATATTCATAGTGCATTTATTTATTTATTATTTATTTTAACACATAGACATTGGTACAAGGAGGCACCAAATACATATGCGCCACACAGACCTCATTTGATATGTGTGAGGGCTGTGATACTGCTGGGGTTCCCAGACCAAAGCAGGTGATTTTCTTAGGAGGCCACACCCGGAACCTCCGACCTACAGGTCTGATCCATAAGGAAGTGGGGCAACGTAAGGAGATGCAGTTCCATGTTAGCCGGTGACCAACGATTGTTTCATACGCCATTTGTTCCTTCAGGATACTGGAGCCCATATGCACCATTGGTTTGAAGTGAGGGTTTTCCAACTCCCCTAGTTGTACTCTCCATGTCCACCAACCCGGTTAAAGCGCCGGACATTCGCTTTTCGTCCTCCCAACTTCGTAAACAGCACCCGTGGCGCGAGAAGGATGTGATTAAGACTTTCCTGAGAGAGGCTATATACGCGTGGCTATGTGAGAGCATTTGGAGAAGAAGAGCTGACTCTCCCCACTCTCGGCCGTACCAGGGCATTTGCGGGCAGTGCATTGTAAATAACAAACATGGATGTAAGTATACTCATGAAGCAGTTTGCTTGAATGGTAATTTTATAAGAACATCCTCGTAGTCAAGCAATTATCTCTCATTTTAGTTCAATCAAAGCGCTTTATCCACGCCTAGTTCCTGAATACTAGTCGGTATTTATTCATCTATCATGTATAGAATATAATATCGATACCTAATGTTAGTCAATATTCGGTCGTCAATCAACTGCAAACATGTTAATCGTACAAGAAGTCAGTCCCTGCGTTTTAGACTGTGAAACTAAGTTACTTGGTTTCGACTCCTATAAGAAGCATTAGTTCCCTCAAAATCACAGTTATAGCTTAGTGAGATGAGTACCAGCTGGCACGAAGCCTAGACTAAACAGAATTTTCTGTTGGCATATTCATTGATTGTTATAGTTTGGTTGCTGTAGCTGAAATGCCCCTTGTAAAATATGTAAGATTACATAATCCAATTAACGTTTTAGATTTAAATTTAACTCATTCCGCAGGTACTTGGGTATGACCCACTCTCTAAGCGTGGGGACTAGTGATACTGCTATCTTAGTTGCCCATACTAAAGTAGATGAGAGGGCCCGAACCTGGATGTTGGGCATGGCGGCTGAGAGTCAGGCCTCTTAACTACTAGGTCACCGCTCCACTCCAGTCAGCATACAGTACTAATAAGTTGAAACAAGTTTGACCCGGTAAAATTTACTGAAATATTTAATTATTGACAGAATCTAGAGATTTGAGAAGATTATTTATGAAGGTAAATGGGACAATATTGTAATCCATAACTTACTGCTGCTTTTCCCTAAAACTCAGGTACTTTAACAAATAAACCACACTGTTCTACAATATCAATGCACTTATATCTATATTGAAATAACAAATACTTCTTTTCTATCAACTTCTATTTAGTTAGAATGTGTGTTAATTTTCTTCCCAAGTCTATTCGTTTTAAACTGAAAAAATATATCTAGTTCTTGTATTGTGGATCGGGTGTTCACTGGTTAAGGCCTTAGACTTTCAGCCGCTAACTCTCAAGTTCGAACCCAGGTACACTTCGGTTAGAGAAACCAAGGACGTAATATCACTTGCAATAACCCTAGAAGAGCTACAAATAATGGGTTTTTTTAGACACATAAGTGGTGAATTTACAAAGTTTTAGTGAAACTGAAGTTTATTTTTGTTTCCTTTCCGAAAACAAACCAATTCATTTGTTAATGATTCCTCTGTTTGATTGAAAAGATTAGTTGTTTTCTTACATACTACTGCTAAAAAATTTGTTCCTTTAAAACATTGATACCCATGTTTTTCCAAGTTCCAATCAAATTGGTATTCTCCTTGGTCAATTGATTGATTCTTTTATATGTTAAAGTTAATCTCTCTTCGAATATTTGACATAACCATCATTTCATGTTTCATTCACAATTTGATAACTAACTTAAATGTAATTTATCTGTTTTAATCCCACCTCAGTAGTAGCAGTAATACTACTACTACTACTAGTATGTTTCTAGTTAATTGTTTGAAGTTAAAGTTGTGAATGTTGTGTTCTGTGGTTCGATTTAATTATGACACATATTTCGTACGTTTTATCAAACTGAGTGTACAGATAAGAAAACTGAAATGAACAGGAAGGTTTACTTATCTAATCCTATTGTAATATGTTTTACTTTGATGCAAACTAGGTCATGTAGGCACATAATTTACTTCATCCGATAGTTTACCTCTTTTGTAATTTCTCACCAGTTGTTTGACCATGTGAAAACGTGACATGTCTATAGTCACTCAACCTATCATCTCCTCTTGAAAAGTTGTAGACTTTCTCTTTAATTAAGGTAACAGAACTATAGAGTACCATTAAATTCGACTCCAGCAGCTTCAGAGTCCGTATATAGTCACGAGTATGCGCTGCTAATAAATGTTCATTTATAATGATGCAACTAGTCAGTGCTTCTTGATTTTCAATAATTTGCCTATTCATAACAAAAACTAAGTTCACTTCCATTTGTCTTACCACAGAAATATTGTCTAAAACATATACATGCAAACTGTTTTGTCAAAGCTGAATTAATTATTATAAATCATGTATTTTGGAAAGACTACGAAAGCTACCCGTTTTATATTGTTTTATTTTTTGTTCTGGGTGGTTTATAATTGCGAAGCTTTCATTGTCATTCTAGACAGGATCTTCAGCACCTACTCTATGTAGAAATAAGGATTTTAGTTTTTCAGCAATAAAATTTGTGAAGATAACCATTCACAAACAAGCCTATCAAAAGCAAACCGATATAACACTTGCGGAATATTATTGAGATCACGAATCGATGTAGGTTGGACAAACATTGAAAAACTGGAAGCACTGGACAGTCATTTCGTCACAGTATGGGATTTTTCATAAGTGTGTATCTAACGGAGGACTTTCACTTCTTGCGACGAACGCTTAACTTCTAAACCACTGATTATTAGGCTGAGATCCAATGGCATACATGTCTAACTGCAATCGATTGGACATATTGCATCGCTACTTACCATCATCTTCAGTGGGTACCTGTCTCATACCTAACACAGTTGAACCCCATTGATCACGGCTTTTCACTAGAACTAAGGAAATTTTCTCCTGAACCTAATCACTAGTGAACATATAATAACCATCAATATGTGGTTATGGAGATTGTTAAATTTTATCAAGATTGCAAACTGATCTATATGATTTCAATGGTTAAGATCATGAATCAGTTGAAGCTAGAAAACTATAGAAAACCTTGGAGCACTGGACAGCCGTTTCATCCTATCGCGGGTCTCCTCAGCGCATCCACGACCCCGCCCCCTGCGAGATTCGAACCCACGACCTACTGGTTTCGCGCGCGAGCACTTAAACACTAGACCACTGATCCGGCATCCAACGATGTTAATGTCTAACTTCAACTAATCCACCAAGTTGAGCGACACATCCACCATTGTCTTCATTGAGTTACTATCTCACAATAGACCTGGTTGAACTCCACTGTTCACTACTTCTCACTAGAACTTCAGGATATACCTCTTGATCTATATAAGACAACTAATAATAATTAAGAAATTTATTTCAATATGAATTAAACACTGAAAAACGGCAACAAAATCTCCATAACTATAAGTCATCAAGCCCATAAAACAATATGATATCATTGAAGGCATCTGTCTATCTGACCTGTATACCATCTTTATCATTTCAGTCAACTATTTTGGATTGTAATTGTAACCTTTAAAAGTGTTACAATTTCCTTTACCCCCCCCCTTCATCTTTTTCTGTTTGTATTTTTTTTCCAGCCATTTTGAACGAATAATTTAAACAAAGACATTCAATTGAATATACCCGCCAAAAACTAATCTCAGTACAATAATCAATTATTCACATATAAAACAAAAAAACTGTTTATTCTCTTCAACAAAACGTTTCCTTCCAAAAAATTTGTTTCATCGATTTGTATTTCTTATTTCTTTCTGGTGGTTCTTGAAAAAAAAAAGGAGCAACTCGTCAACAATACTACAAGATAATACAAAATGCTTAATGGTGATATATTGCATATGGAAGATAACGGTGAGTCCTCTCTACATTAATCTCTTACCTCTTTGATCATTATTTTTTTCTTAAATTAATTAGTTCATTTATAAGATATGATGGTGGTGGTGTTGTTATAGTTTTGTTGACACACTTCCTTGAATTACTAGCGTCTTCAGTTTTACACTATCACTATTCAATAGTGTTGTATAACAATGAGATTAATTTTTACAGATCAATCAAAGTATTGTGTTGACTCTCATGACTAGGAATTCGATCGTATGTCATTTTATTTAAAAAATGGATATTCTATAGATTTACTCAGTTTTTTTTTTCGATTATTTAAGACAACTATCCTGTTGTTTAATCAGTAAGTATGTCATCTAGTTAAATAAACCACTAGACGGTCGATTCAGCCTAGTTGAGAATTATCGGATTAGTGTGCACTAATGACCTTACATAACCTAGAATATTTCAGTCAGTCAATCAATCAATCAATCAATCATGATCATTGTAAAATCGGATGTGGTTTTGTATTAGCTAAACTTACCATACCATATTAGCACAACTAGATGAATAACGAAGTTGTCAAAATAATTCCGTAGTAATAATAATAATGAGAAATGAACGGGATATCGTGATTCAAGACCTAGACAGAGATCAAAAGTTGAAAAATCTTCATTATTGTAACGGATTCTAACTGATTTCACCCATAGTTTTCAACAGTTAATTACAATTATTGCATAAACTACAAACAGTTCATTAGACTGAACATAATTTCATTTAACCATAAAGAATTCAGTATAGGGATTTGTGGAAATTGTAGTGTTTTAATAGCTAAATTCACGAGTTAATCTAAGCTAAACCACCACTGAAAACCTGGAAGCACTGGACAGCCGTTTCTTTCTAATATGGGACTCTTCATCAGTACGTAGATACGATTCCGTACTCGGAACTCGAATCCAGGACCTTCGGTCTCGCGTGCGAACGCTTAATCTCTAGAACCACTGAATCGGGATCCAACAATGTTATTGTTCAACTTCAACCAATCCACGATATTGTGAAACCATCTGTCACTGTTTTCGGTGGGTAACTACCTCACATCCAACACGGTTGAACCCTATTGGCCATGGCTTTTCATTAGAACTCCGAGAATTGCTTCTCGAAGCAAGTCACTAGTGAGTACATGATAATTTTTAGTATAAGTCCTGGTGATTGTTAAGCTTCACTGAGATTATAAATCGATCAGTGTTAGACCACCAATGAAATCCTGAAAGAAACAAGTTTTCGGCGCTTATTATGAAATTCATTAACACCATTGGATTTTGCTTTAGCGATCTATAGGTTAATTGTTCGCGCACGATACTAAAGGTCATGCATTCGATTGCAGAGTACGGGATCGTGAATGCTCATTGTTAAGGTGTCCCATACCGAGACGAAACGGCCATTGGTTGTTAGCAGGTTTTCAGTAGTATTCTAACATTAATCGGTTCATGATTTCAGTCTGATTCAATTACATACATATCACGCTGTTCAAAGTAGATATTAAATGATAATTTAATATAAAGTCCCAAAAATGTTTTGATCAGTGTTGAGTGTTACTCTCTGCGAACCAGAGGTATCAGTTCAAGGTCAGTTGATATGCAAGCAATGTTAATGAATGGATGCTATTTGTCTAACTTTGTTTTCATTACCTAAAAGAAATCGCTATACCCTATTGGTTGGAAATGTGGCCTAATTTTCTGAGGGACACAAATCTACATTCATGAATGAGTTTGTGCATATTTCTAAATTCAGGTTCTACAATACAGTTTCTTATTCACTCAAGTAGCAAGGTTGGACCTACTTATAAGAAGGGCACCCAACATAACACAACATATTACAAATTAGTATCGTATATGCATTGCAAAGTTCCATTTATAAAATATATTCAATTTAATATGCTATGAAAGACCAGATAATTGAGATCCATGCATACATATATGCATGTATATACACTCACATATACCCAATTAAACATACATATGAACACGCCTACTATTCGAATAGGGTTTTTTCTCTTCGTTTTTCTAAAACAAGTTCATTAAACAATCTGAAATTTTCATGACTCTCATAGTAACAATTCATTATTTTCCTATACTTTTCATATACTTTTTATGACATATATGTTTAGATATAGTTATAGTAAGTTTAATTTTAAAGAGAAAATTCATGTAATATACCTGTGAATTGATGTGAACTGAAGGTAATTTCTTCTATTAACTATAGTATCATTAAGGATCATAACAACTAGTCTTTAACTGATATACACAAGTGTATTTCATCTATATCGGTATTAGTTATTCACTTAAATATTTCCTTTAATGAATTATGTGAATGAATTTTTAATGTTAAAATAATATTATCTACATTATTGATGAGAATTTAATCACCCTATGAATCAAATCTACATTATGAACTGATCTTGATAAGATACTATTGAAAATATAAAAAAACTATTAGACAACCGGAACCTTCAGTGAATGCTTAAATCATTGAATTTGGATCGAATGATTTACATGTTTAAGTTCAATTGATTCACATTATTATCTAAATATTATCCATTCCCATTGATGGGTAACTGCCTCACATCGTAAATATAGTCGATCTCCACTAGTTACAACTTCTCATTAGAACTCCTGGATTTATCTCTCTTGAAATTAGTCACTAGTGAGCATATTATTATGATTATTATTAGAATAGGAGGCTCGTAGAGATAATTATGTTGAAATAAGTTTATTGTAAACCATTGGTTCATATCTAATCGAACTATCTAAACTAGATGGCCTATAATTGCTTTTCGTACAATGAAGAATGAAAAAAAAACTTTTTTTTTCTTTTATTCACTTCTTATCATTACTGTATTTGTTTTATTTTCGGATATATTCAAGGCATATCACCTGTTTACTCTAGTACTCAGTCATTTATTGAAATGATTATTTCTCTGTCTTTCAATCACCGTTACATACATTTGCTTTTATCAATGCATAAACAATTGTATACATACGTACTTGTGCACATTTGCGTATATATATATATATATGTCTTTTTTCTCCAATGTTCACTGTTGAAGTCACCAGGATAACAAGATAAAACTTTTTTTTCCCCTTCAACTAATCAGTTAGACATCAAAAGTCACCAAACAGACAGATATTAGTTTCAAAATTACTCTAAACCATTAAACTGTATATCAGATATCAGATATTTTAGTTATACTATTTAGAAGTGTACTACTACTATTACTATTACTATTACTGAAATTATGAACTGAACAATGTTAGACATCCACTAAAAACCCAGAAAGCACTTGATAGTTGTTTCATTATCATATTGGACTCCTCAGAAGTGTACATTCACTACGTCAGTATACTTAACTAAATTCAGGATCTTGAATATTGTGCGCGAATATTTAACCTTTATGCCGCTAAGTCATAGACAATATGAAATGTAGATATCGATTCTCAAATGGGACGTTTTAATTTATATTCGTTCGTAGTTACAGAAACTTTATTTTTCAATTAATTAATAATTCATCAGTTATTTCATTCATGCTTCTAAATTGAAATGATATTATTTATGCCTAACCAATGGTTCTGTTGTTAAGCAGTTTGGCTTTCAGCCACTCACCTCCAGGTTTGAACCCCACCCTACTTGCTTCGGTTTAGGCAACTGGATAGTATCACTAGCCCTCACACAGAATATGACCTGTAACTAAGTACATTAAATTATATTTAGGTAATGAATTATTAGGCTTAATGTAGAATTGAGTTTGATGTGTAATATCACTATATTACATGAAATGTTGGTTACTTACTTTCAATCACAAGCTGGCTGAAATTGAAAAGTTTCATTTATTAAATTTTAATGTACTAATTAAATGAACCTGTCCATCGTAGGATCTAGAGATCACAAGTTCTGTTGTATGTGAAATCTGAAGAAGTATGTTCTTGATAATTTGGGAACCAAACTATGATGGTTTTTGACTATTTCCTCATTTTCTTTACTTAACTCAAGTCTGATTGATCGTTGAATAAGTGATCAACATCATGTTTGTCTAGTCCTTCAATGATATTGATCGGATTCTATTGATTAAGTTGCAGTGTGGCCACTAATTTGATTGTATCGACGTCACATGCACTTCGTTGATATGTTAGGTAGTTGGAGGTAGTCAACAGGCAACTAGGCTTGATCTATATTTCATGCTAGTTGGCACTCGTCAAAGAGCCATACATTTAATCCTAATGACACTGACGTTCCTTGTGTGATTCAGTCCCACGTCATTCAAACCCATAATATCATTGAATTATGTCATGTTTCTTTATCCCTTTAGTGCTGAACGAATTATTTCAAATCCAGTAGAAGTGTGACTACTAGTTTAACTGACTCAATGTTTCATGTATTGTGTAGAAATATTCAGTGGTCATGTCCTTCAGAGAGCATCAGTTTCCCCAAGATTACACTAACTATTTGCTGATGAGTAATATGTCAACTTATACGAAACCTAAGTCCAGCTGGGTTTCTTGCCAATTACTTCTTGCTAGCTGATAGTCCGTATTAAGTACTGTGTTCCAAGAGATTATCTCTACTACTCTGAGTTGTTGTAATTAACAGATTTATTCATTCATTCTATAACTACCCATAGTTGTCGTGTTTAAGACATGTGATATTACTGTACAGACTAAAGTAGACTAGGTAGGATTCGAACTTATATAATCGAATGATTAATAAAGAATCACTACCTACACATCATCATAATGATATGAAATGTGAATAAATAGCAACATAACAGTTGGTTTCAAAACTGAATTTATTTACATTAAATGATTTCATCTTGTTGTTTGTAGTTCACTCTAAAATATTATATTCTATCGTCACAAATGTATCCGAGTGTTTGTGTATCTGGGATAAAAGTTGAACAGGTGTCGTCTACATCTTAGTTGATGTGATATCCCCTAACTTCTATATTCACTCATTGTTATGACTATCAGTTAGTTAGTTTG